ACCAGTACAGAAGAAGATACGTCCCGTAAAATTAAGAGACTTAGTTGAATTGTAATTTTGTGTTTGTAATTCTGTACATTTAATTAAGTTATTGTTAATTGTTATTGGTTTAATGTAAGTGGCCATTGTTCGGGACGAACAATACTAAGGAATGGACAGTGTTACGACATCGAGGTCACGTGACTAGTATCACGCCCCGTCATTCTCGAACTTTCACGTCTTTTCCTTAAATCTCGTGATCTTTCTAGATATAGTGTAGTCTTGTATATTTAAGACCGGCCACGAAGCGACAGAGAGGTAATGAGTGATTGAATGTATGGGGACAAAATATTGTTGGCCACGTGAGACGTGAATTATAGTGTTGTTACAGAGCGACTGTTGAAATTAAGTGTATCGTAAAGTTGTATTCGGAAAGAATAAACCAGTTTTATTTAAGAAAAGACTTGTGTCGCTAAAGTTTCGTCGGAACGAATTTACGGAAAATTAACGAACGAACGGAGACGTAACAATATATTACAGCTAAGCCTCTCATATACTGGTTTGATTAGGCGTCTGAGGTTCAGACCGATAAGTCTTAAGAAGACAAGGATGCAATCTCAACCCATACCGACTCCCTGATGAGGGATAAAGAGCTGAAAGTAATTAAGATTGTTTACATTGTTTAACTTGGAAGGTGACTGTCCAGTGTACCAATACAAGATCGCACACTTTGTTTCTGTCTTTGACATAAATATTGTTTTATTTTGTATAATACATTGTGTTCTGTCTGTTTATTTTTTCCATTTGAAATCACCTAGTTAAGTTAAATTCAGGTTTATTGCACAATTTATCCTGCCGATCCTCCCATTATAAAGCGGACTTATCTAACATTCTTTGAGGAAATCAGTTTCAGCTGAGAATACAAAAAAAACATAACATACTCTTAGAGTATTCTGTTGTTAAAATGGAAATTTTACTATTAAAGAAGAAATGAAGCACATGTTAGAAGAAACTTCTTATTTTTTTCATTATACCAATAATTATTCTTCAGAACAGTATAAAAACTATATAAAAATACTTTGATTAAAACTTTTGAAACAAATTTTAGCGCTTAAAAACAATAATGATAGATTTCATTTTGTTTGAATATTACAAAATGGCAGCAAAATATTTGTAAAATAGAAAGATTGTTCTTTAAATTAGACAATATAAATAATTTTAATTCGGTATTAGAATTCATCTATTTCCCTAAAATAATTACTGAGTTATATATCTATATGGGACAAAAATGGCGTCAATCAAACTTTTAGCGATAGGCGAAACTTGCGAAAATTAGCTTACCAAGCTAAATCCACATCAACAGCTTGATGAAAAGGCAAACGTATTGTGTTTATTTATAAGTGAGAAAGAAATTTGACCAAACGAGGGTAGAGTAAGATTAAATATTTATAACTTATAGTTGTAAGTAGTTTAGGTCGTAGACTTCTAATTTATTTTATTTACATTAAATGATTAATCTATATTAATGAATTATAGTATATGAAGTCGTAGAATTAAAATTAAATGAATTTACAAATTTCATTGATCGTTCAAGTTGTGTTGGTCACTTTGTGCCCTTGTTAATGTAGATACTAAGACAATTAATTGGTTTAAATAATTTCTAAGTGAGACACTAACCATCTTTTTACGATACATTTAACACTTTGTGCCACTGTTAATGTAGACATTAAGACAATTAGTTTAAATAATTTCTAAGTAAGACACTAACCATCTTTTTTGCGATACATTATATATTATTATTATTATTACTACATAACATCATTTTGTTAGAAATTACAGCTTTTACACTGAGGAGAATTATTTATTAGAACAGCTTGAATGAATTTTTTGTTATTGTTATTTTTGTGTAATCATTTTTTATTAGAAGTACCACAGTTTTGTAATTTTGTACTAACCTTTTACTGTAATTCGCATTAGTTTAAAATTTGAAGATTATTTGGTCTTATATTTTGTGTTGCAAACTATATATTGTTGTTCTGTACATGAATATGAATTATGATGAAATTTGGAGAGTTTCTACAAAATATGTGGTCATTAAAATTAGTTATAGTTTATATATATGTTTTAATAATAAAGGGTATATTACATATTTGCATGTAGATTAGTATCCTATTTATTAACTTTTAATTACAATATACAGTTAAGCATTTGGAATTTTTTACCTTTTATGGTAATATAGTGATATTGAACCATATTTTCCCCACAAACTGACAAAGTAAATTCTATTTCAGGGATATGTCTTTCAAATTATCAAATGTCCAAATTTAGATTTTGAATTGTAAAGGCAAAATTTCAAACTCATGAACTACCATGTATCCTGTTCAGACATTCATTAGTATCCACTAGATTTGTTCATAGTTTTACTATTGTTAGTTAAAGCTCTATTAAAGGCAATGTTATTATTTTTATCACTGACATAAACAATAATGCCTTGTCCAAAAACATGCCCTGTTATCTTCAGAACATAGAGTAAGAAAGTCAAAAGCCTTTATCTTATCAATCCCTCGGTTATTCTTATAAATCTCAATAATATCACCTCGTACTCTTCTTTTCTCAAAATAAAATAAAAATGTTTTAATCTACCCTTATGAGATAGCTCTTCCATCCTCAGAACTATCCTAGTAATCCTTCTCTGAATCCTTTCCAATAAATAGATATCCTTTCTTAGATAAGGAGTTCAAACTGTACAATGTTTCCAAGTGAAGACTAACTATTGATTTAGTATTGTATCACCTCTTTTTCACTTGTAATCAATAATCTATAAATACATCCTAAAATTCTGTTAGCTTGACTACTAGCAACAGAGCACTGATTTAATGGCTTGAGTAGCTTATCCACCATTTTGCTAATATCGTTTTCTTTAGTAATGCTATTGGTAGTATTACTTAATGGTTATTATATTTGGTCTACAGACTTCAGAAAGAGGGTGTGATAACTCATTTGCAGGGAAAACAGGAATTTTCTAAGATTTAAATTAACTGAATTTTCATAATTGGTAGGTGAAGTAGAAATGTTGATAAAATGTCCAAATACGAACATAACTGTGAAAAGTATATATAGTAAAAATAACTCTTTGAAGTTTATTTTACATCCAAAATGTTATTTTTGGAAACCAAAATATAGTCACCAAAATCTTGTGGCTGAAAACTAGTTTTCATCTATGATCATGTTTTATATATATATATATATATATATACACTCTATTTATTTGTTATTAGACAAAGAAAAATTAATTGTTGTT